TTTTTTTTTTTCAGCCCCACCCCCCCAAGCCACAGAAAAAGATAATTCTTAAAACAAGTACCTGGTACACTTAATAGTAGATGTCCAATATATATTTGTTTGAATGAATAATTCAAAGCAGGGCTGACTTGAGTAATAGAATGATTAAGTAATTTCCTTATGGAAAAAACCCACAGAGCTTCAATTTAAAAACAATTTCTAATATTCTCTTTCACAGAAATCCAAAATCACCCTTATATACAGTTCTATCAAAGTCAGAATATATTTTAGATGTTTATTATTTGGGTGTGTGAGTCTGCTTGATTTCAATGAAATAAATATCAGAAAGAGGACTTTTAAAATTATTACTTAGGATACTGAAGAACATCAGTACTCACCAATACTAATTTCGTCATCTGTTTCAGCATCACCAATACATTCAAACTGGAAATCTTGTAGTGACTGGGAAAATTTCTGTACTGCTATAGACAGATCTGCAAACAAAAGTTAAGGAAAAAACCCATAAGGTGAGGTTTCAGGAAATACTAAAGAGTTTCTATATGTAACATTATATAACTTTGATTTTAGTTATATCATCCCATTATATTAACCAGAAGCTTTTAAAGATATCAGTTTGACAAATTCAAGTAAAAGTTAAAGAGATTACTAAATAAATATTTTAGAAACTGGATCTGCTCTGCTTAAAGGGGATTTGCCCCTTTAAGAAAGTGTTTTGGTAGATGCCTATTATCTAGAAGCCAATTTACCAAAACCTTTGTCAAAGAATCACCACTCACTCATTATAAATGGACCAATTATTTAAAAGAAGAAGAATTGTCACTGAGGTTGCTAGTGGAGGGGGAAAAAAAAAGACAATGGTTGACTGGAAAGAGTCACCAATAAAATTCTGTACAGACTGTGGAAAAGGTAGGGAATGTGTTTTTACCAATAAACTATTGGTTTCGATCTAGAAAGTAAGAGATGACCCGAAAGGTTGTTTACAAACAACTTTGTGCTTTATAGGAGACTCGAGCTAAATATACTCTCCAATCCTAACTTCAGTCTGAACAAGGCCTAGAGTCTGACTAAACCTAGAAAAAGAATTCTTTATTTCTGGGCAGAAAAAGCAAAGCCCAGAATAATAAGAAGTAAATCCCTGGGAGTCAACAGCCTGGATGCAACCTAACGGAGTGTGTTTAAGAATGTAAACTCTGGAGCCAGGCTGCCTGGGTTGAAATCCAAGCCCCACCATGTACTTGCTATTAAATTAGTTAAATCCTCTGGGCCTTTGTTTCCTCACACAGTGATGTACCACAGAACAGACACATAGACCATGGAGGTCCTATGAGATGGTAACGGAGCTGCCTTACACAGGTGTACCACTTTTTATCTTTTATACTACATTTTTACTGTACCTCTTCTATGTTTAGACATGTTAAGATACACAAATATTTACCATTGTGTTCAACTGACTACATGCTGTACAGGTTTGTAGCCTAGAAGCAATAGGCTATACTATTAATATACAGCCTAGGTGTGCAGTAGGCTGCACCATATAGGTTTGTGTAAGTACACTCTATGATGTTTGCACAATGACAAAATCACCTAAGGTGGCATTCTTCAGAATGTATCCTGGTCATTAAGCAATGCGTGACTGTATGTAAAAAGGTAACAACAACGCTATAACCACCTTACAGGATTATTCTGAGGATTAAATGAGTTCATATTTGCAAAGGGTTTAGAACACTGCCTGGCATTTAATAAGCACTATTTAAATTTGTTAAATAAAAATAAATAAACTTCACAGTGCAGCATCAGGAAAACTTCGAGGGTCCCATCTCTCAGAGCTACTCTGATGATTTATGTTGCCCCTGCCATAGATGTTGGCACCAGTAAGAAAATGTACTTTTCTGGAATTCACTCTACACTTCACTTAATAGTATCTCCCTCGCATGGGTTCAAGTCCAATACTTGAACCCTTACATTTATTTCAAGCAATAGGAACTAAGACTGTCTCTTTGACCAAACTTTAGTTAGACTCCTTTAAGCCCTCGTCTCAACTAGGCCTCCTCCACCTTGGCCCTGACCCTTGCTGGCCATGCACAGCATAGTTTTAGCAAGGCTCCTGCTAAGTCAGTTTATGGATAATTCTCCACCCTCAATATCTGTTCAAATTCCTCATCCCACACCTTTGATGTAGAAGCGCTTGGCCTGCCTTCAGCAAGAATCCTACTACCCTTGATGTCTCCTCTTAGTCATTTTCCACCCACCCAACTCCCTTCATCCTGCTCCTCAGCTATAGATTTCCACTTGTTCTTGTATTTAGAGTTGAGCCTGCTCTCTCTCGCCTATTGAAAGTCTTTATACCTATCGTGACAGTCCTTAATAAAGTCTTCCCCACCATTTTAACAAGTGTCAGAATAATTTTTTCTTTAATAGAA